TATTGGGATCACAAAAAGATTATCAGCTTTTGACCCTAAACAGTCTTCCTTAGTGTATAATAAGACTACATGTGTGAGCTTGCTGAAGTGTGTCAATACTGGGAAAGGTATCAAATTCTACACGTAGCTACTACAAGACCTTGAAGAAAAGAGGGTATAGTGCTAAATAGACTGCAGGTCATTTATCAAGAAGGAGAGATGCAGAATCATTGGATGCACAGATGTCCTTGATTTCAAATGCTTGTAAGTAGATAAAGTATACATATTGTTGTCAGCTGCCACATTGACAGTGAAAAATTGATGTGTTCTGTAACCTCTGAAGATTTCGTGTTCACACCCTGCTGATTGGGAACCTTTTGATGCATAATGATACCGAAGCTGGTTCCAGGTGAGCTCCAAGTCTGGACATATGTACCTCATTTCATCACAAAACCGTTTCTGTAATTGAATTCAATGGCTGTCTGGAGGAGAGATAGAGACAATAGATGTGGTAATGTCATTTAAGCTGTATGGATTGTTAATAAAGGGGTTCTTGGTTGTCAAGGTACCACATTGCTAGAGATGCAGAATATATTAAAGGATAGTGGGTTGTTTTTTCGAGCGAATAATATTGCAATACAAGAAAACACAGCATATCAACACTGCAAATTTTGCTCAAAAAGTTCTGTGGATGTTGTTTGTGGTGAATTTTCTTTTTATCTGAGGTGTATTTCTTTTATCCTGGATGCATACCGATTCTAATCATGCTGTTCTAATGTGGAGCATGCAGTTTTGGATAATACGGAGTGATGTTAAACTATTTTCTTGGCATTCCGAGGCTCTCTGTCTTCGTGGTACCATAAAGCAAAATAGTTCTTGCAAAACATTTAAGTGTAGTTGTCTAAGTTTTTAGCTGATTTCATGCAGGTGCTGTAAATGAAGTGAATAGAGCTTATGACCTCTAAATCCAAAAGAATATAATTCTGTGTAACATTTATTTTGAGGGTGTTTTGTTTCATTATATTGATAACACATGAACATGACATTTGATATTTTGGGGAAAAATATCTGCCATGACTTCATTGAATGTAAATAGAATGACAAGTATATTTTTAATATTTCATTTTGTCAGTTTTTAGCTCTACTGGTCAGAGACCAGAAGAGCTTATGCGATAGTAAGGTGTCCGTCGTCCGTCCGTCTGTCTGTCTGTCTGTCTGTCTGTCTGTCTGTCTGTCCGTCTGTCTGTAAACAATTTTTCAAAACGCTACTCCTCCTACAGTTTTGGTCCGATTTCAATATAACTTGGCACACAAGTAGACTACACTAAGATACATAATTTAGTGCATCGGTTTTTGATTTCGATGGACGGTGTTGCCATGGTTACTAAAAATAGAAATTTCTGTGAAATTTCTTTAAAACGCTACTCCTCCTACAGTTTTGGTCCGATTTCAATATAACTTGGCACACAAGTAGACTACACTAAGATACATAATTTAGTGCATCGGTTTTTGATTTTGATGGACGGTGTTGCCATGGTTACTAAAAATAGAAATTTCTGTGAAATTCATTTAAAACGCTACTCCTCCTACAGTTTTGGTCCGATTTCAGTATAAATTGGCACACAAGTAGACTACACTAAGATACATAATTTAGTGCATCGGTTTTTGATTTCGATGGACGGTGTTGCCATGGTTACTAAAAATAGAAATTTCTGTGAAATTCATTTAAAACGCTACTCCTCCTACAGTTTTGGTCCGATTTCAGTATAACTTGGCACACAAGTAGACTACACTAAGATACATAATTTAGTGCATCGGTTTTTGATTTCGATGGACGGTGTTGCCATGGTTACTAAAAATAGAAATTTCTGTGAAATTCCTTTAAAACGCTACTCCTCCTACAGTTTTGGTCCGATTTCAGTATAACTTGGCACACAAGTAGACTACACTAAGATACATAATTTAGTGCATCGGTTTTTGATTTCGATGGACGGTGTTGCCATGGTTACTAAAAATAGAAATTTCTGTGAAATTCCTTTAAAACGCTACTCCCCCTACAGTTTTGGTCAGATTTCAATATAACTTGGCACACAAGTAGACTACACTAAGATATATAATTTAGTGCATCGGTTTTTGATTTCGATGGACGGTGTTGCCATGGTTACTAAAAATAGAAATTTCTGTGAAATTCCTTTAAAACGCTATTCCTCCTACAGTTTTAGTCAGATTCAATATAACTTGGCACACAAGTAGACTACACTAAGATACACAATTTAGTGCATCGGTTTTTGATTTCGATGGACGGTGTTGCCATGGTTACTAAAAATAGAAATTTCTGTGAAATTTCTTTAAAACGCTACTCCTGCTACAGTTTTAGTCTGCTTCTAATATAATTAGGCATACAAGAAGACTATACTAAGATACATGATTTATTGCATTGGTTTTTGAATTCGATGAACAGTGTTACCATGGTTACTTAAAATAGAAATTTTTGTGAAATTCCCATTAAACGTTACTCCTCCTACAATTTTGGTCTGATTTCAATCTAATTTGGCACACAGTTAGAATACACTACGATACATAATATGTATTTCTGTTTTTTTTTATTTGGGTGAATGGTGTTGTCATGGTTACTAAAAATAGAAATTTCCGTGAAATACTTTCAAAACGCTACTACTCCTAGTTTTCATTTGATTTCAATATAACTTGTCACAAAAGTAGACTACATTAAGATACATAATTCTATTTATTGTTGCATGTTGCAATGTTTCAAATCCAAGTGCTACTTTTCTTTTGTTATACAAACAGACCAGTAGAGCTACAGTCTCATCAGAGACTTCTGGTTTTTTTAAGTTTTATGTTGCAGTTATTGATGCTTCTCTTTGAGAAATATAGACCTTGAAAGTCCTCTCTAACTTTAACATCTTTAAATAATTGTTTATCATTTGCACTGCTTGCTAATTACAACAGAAAACTGCTATATTTAACATTTTGAAAAGGTTTTGATAGCAGCACTTCACACACTAGCTGTTTTCTTTATTGGAGAAGTTGAAGGGAATATTTATTTCTGCCTCAAAGACACTTTCTGTGAATTCTAGAGGGGCGTGTCCCTGTTAGCCAGTAACTTCTCTCCCTGTTGTTAGATTAAAGGTCACCCCAATTACCAGTGGTACAAGTGTAACAGAAGTAGAACCATATGCTTTTCCAAAGGGGAAAAAATGGTCACAGTGTAGTATACCAACATCTGACCCCCCAGAACTTATCATAATATTGGTGCTGGAGAGTTCAAACAGAGAATGAGTCTCTGACATTGTATTTGATGAGGGTATTAGGCCTTCTCAGTTTCAGATAAAAATTTTTATGAGAATCTTAACCTTGAGGTTTCTATAGCTTTTGCACTGAATACAACAAAGCACATTCTGTGGAAATATTTTCTTGGATTTGAGTAAACAAGGAATTAAAGATTCTTAATCTTTCTGCAGCCAGTAGACAGGATTTTTAATTAATATATGTAGCCCGGTAGTCTGGGCATATGATATACAAGGATAACACCTATGGGCCCCTGTAATTCCTAGGTTATCCCCCTGCTCTTCCACTCTGCACCAGCACTGTCCAGCAGTAAATGGTACAGGTATGAGAGTGGTGGTTTTCATTTGCCCTGAAGTTCTAGGTAATCATTGTGAACACAATTCTAGAAACTCATTTCCACTGTTGCCATGAGCTTTTATTATTCTATCTCTTGATGACTTATCATTGTAGTATGCTTGGCCTTGCACATTTGTGGAGGCTGCAAAAATCTTGATGCCAGAAAAACAAATCTGCTCATCATGCAGCCACAAAGAGTAAAAAACAATGGTACTGCTGGAGTGAGGGTGGGTGACACGAATTTTGCATGTGGCAGTATTCTGTTAGAAGATGGCTATCAGAGTCATAAGGATCAGTGCCAATTTCTTGCATGGAGTGCCATGCGTCTAGACAAATACCTTTTTTATACTCGGTATATCTATATGTATTAGAAACTGGGCTGTTGGATTAGCTTCATAATCAACAGCGTTGTTCTTCTTCTGCAACATCTGATAAATCTGGTGCAAGAAAGCTCTTTTGAAAACAGCTTTCTCCAGAAAATCTGATAATCTTGTTTATATAAGCAATTACAATTGCCATAAACTTTCTTTAAGTTAATACATTAAGCCACTGTAAACAAATGGAAGAATATGTATGTGCTGTTGCAAAGATGAAGAACCTTGCATGAAAATCTTTTTGAGAGGCTTAGCATTTTATGGTAATTGACATTTTGGATATTAGATTTGAATGAAAATACTATAGTAAATCAAATTCTCAAATATTGAGCAAAATATTGTGCAATTATCTGAATGCAATATATATTTGAACAGTGCAAAGATGTCAGAAATTGTGCATGTGGGATTCTTTGAAATGTTGCAGCATTCTTTCAGGGATAATGCATTTTAATTGACATGTGAAGGCTCCCATTGCTGCATTGTCAGTTTGTGTATTCGTAACATTAAAAAAAAGGATGATGGTGCATATTTTTTATCAAAGAAATACTTTTTTGAGAGGATATATGTTGAATTTGATTAAAAGATTCTGTGACTAAAAGATTTCTTTTCAATTTCCGATTAACACTTTGATTAAGTGAATTTTTTCCAAAGCATCTCTGCACTCTTGATATGCTGGGGCCATGTGCCAGCTCCTATCTTCAATGTTGTTGATATCTCTAAAGATTACATAGGAGATAGTTTTATGAAGCAGGTGCTCTGATCTTCTTCATAAGTACTGTCTCTGATGCTCTTTTTTTTCTACAGAGAATTTTTACTATTCAGATTTGGTACGGAATGATTGTTCCTGAAAAAAAAAACAACCTGGGATTACTTTACTTAAAACAATAATAAATTAATTGGTCTTTGTTGAAGTTTTTTAAACAACGTTTATATTTGTTCTTGTAAAAAATTTGCAGAATGCAATATAAATGACTAAAATGACTTTATATTGGTATTTTTCAGAACCCCTGACACTTTGACACGATGGCTAGCATCACACCATACATCCACAGTTTTATCACAGTTTTCCTGATTCACAAAGGTAATACATACACATAAAACTTGTAAGCTACATGTTCACCTCAAAAGGAATTTAGTATACATGTATTTCCTCTTAAAAAATTCAGCAGTATATGCAGAACCTAGTGTGTTGATGCTCATGAAAAGGCTATATTAATTTCATATTAAATTTAGTTTACAGACATAAAATTGAAGATTGTAATACTGAATACTTGATTATAAAGTGCTAACAAATTAGCATTTATCAGAAAACATCCCCCCCCCCCTTCAAAAAAATCTTTTGATCTTCTGTGCCTCTTTAAAGAACCCATATGAATGACTGTGACATAAGAAGATGTGACAGCAGTAATTTGAATTTGAAATGTTACTTGGTACATGTTTTGTGATATGAGTGATCCCCCAGAATTTCCCAGACAAACCAGAAACGGGCTCTCTGATGGTGATTAGGCCCTCGCTGTGATGTAACTGGTTCCCTGCCTACACTTCATCATTTACACTCCAATTCGACTAATTGAGCTTACTCAAAATTTCATTAGCCAACTTGAAGTTTTACAAATTTTGAAGAGCGCTAATGTATTTCATAGTAAACAGGGCTCTACTTTTTGGGTACTTTTTTGAGTAAATTCTGATTGCGAATCTTTGATGGTTTTGAAGATTTTATATTCTGTTTGAGTGTGTCTAAGAACTCTAAGTGACACATAATACATTATGTACATCACAATAACTAAATAATATGCTATTTATATTAGATTTGATGGGGAAAGTTGCATCATCCATTTTTTCCCTGTAATTAAACACCTTTAAGTCATTGCCATTGGCAGAGAACCATAGAATAAGCTAGATAATTGTAATTACAACACAGCAGGTGTTATCTCATTAGTCTGATGGAGAGGTAAAAACTAAAAGTCAGCAATGCAGTTGTTTATGATGTAAAAACCAAAATACAATTGTACAATTTGTTTTGTATTTAGTAAAAGTCAATGATCTGTATCGGTAAAATCTCATCATAGCAGATTTGTTACCTTGCAAAAGTTATAGTTTTTATTGTCCATTAATTGTACTATTGATACCAAGGTCATAGCGAATAGTCAAACCTTCTGTTCTTTTGTTCCTTGGTACTCTTCAAAATATGCAATTTGTCCTTGTTGGGAACTCATTCAATGAAAATTGGAGGGAAAAAAATCATCATTTTCATCTAATCAGATCCTCATTAGTGATTTTTGATATCACAGTTAAGAACCCTCTATACACTGCATACTAGAGAGTTCTGATTCTGTGGTATTTTTATGAAGTTAGAGTAATCTGCCCTTAGATCTAAAATGAAATAGATTTAAATCTACAGTTTATCAATCAATTTCTAATCAATTCAAGCATTCTTAACATTTTGATAGGCCATGATAAATTAATTGAACACCTCATCTGCATGCTTTTTCCCAACTTAGGTAAACAACAGTGATTTCTGTTCAGCAAAACTTTGTTGACTTTGAACATTTCTCCTGGGGGTAAAAGCCAGGCACCCAATGTTGAAAACGATATAAATAAGCTCAATATATACACCTTTATACAATATAATTTTCTCAATGTCCAAAAAACATTTTCGTTTAGTGTAGAGAGGGTCCTTAAACCAAAAAGAATGTTTAAGAAAAATCCAAATCTCTTAATATTTGATAATTTTATAAATATATAAATGTCCTAGATTTAGCATAATTTCTAGATGAAAAATGCATGGACTTGTAGCAATTTTAGTACACATTCATTGATTACAAAGTGCCATTTAGACAATATGGTATGTGATATTTTTATAGTTTCAATATTTTTATCAAAGCATGTTGTTAATTAGGCATGTAAAGTTTTTTCAGCCATAGACTGACACTTGCTTTGGGTAATTAGCAATATCTGGGAAAGCCCTGATCTCCACACTGCCAGGAACTGAGTCTTTTGTTTTGGAGTCTGAGTGCTTCTTTTGCAGACTAGTTCCTCAAGGCAATAGCTCTCTGTATCACCTCGTAAATCCTAGGTCTATGGCACTGTTATTCTCACTGACCCTTGTCTGGGGTATTGGATTCTGATGTAAAACACAGCCACAGAACACATCATTTCTACAGATTTAACACCGAATCTTTGTGTCTGCAACATGTGTTTGAGGACTGCAGATGCATGTTGTGGTAATAAAAAACAAATTGGTAAAATGAGCAGCGAAAACTCTACAAATGTGATGGTTTGATGAAGCCAAGCTTCTTTAAGAAAGGTCAAAAAACTAACTTTTCTGTGGAGTTGGGGTAATTAAAAGTGCACCATATGTATGATTACTTTGTCATATTTATTGCGAAATATGAAACAAAATATGTAAGTTTTGATTAAGAGCAAGCAGTTTTATTTTCTCTGAAAATTCAAAGCATACTGTTGCTTTTCATTTGATGCTTTTTTCATGTTTTCCTCCCATGTTTCTACAATGTCAACATCTTATATGAAGTATATTTTTTAATTAGCAAATTATATGCCAACATAATTATTGTCACTCAAGAAGAACTGCTTATTGGTATTCTTGAAATTTTGGCACTGTTCTCAGAATTATGGAATGCTACTGGATGAAAGGGGAGGTAATAGGTGTAATTTTCATTCCTCCAGTGTCACAGTTTTGTTTTGAAAATGAAAGAAATAAGCTGTTTATATTTTTCTAACAGAAGCAATTTCTTTTTAGGGATTGAATATTACTAAAGCATGCCTTTCATTTTAAGTAACTCAAAAACTTCAAAAAAAAAATCCTGACATATCCTACTAGACTGCTTTGTTAATCCATTTTACCAGTATTTGGAGGCCAAGAACTTGTGGAGGGTCCAGTCAGTCAGAAGGCGAGAATTGGGATGAAAATCCAGCTTAAGTGTGTGGTCAAGAATCGCTCGGGGATTGTTCAGTGGACTCAAAATGGATTTGGAATGGGAAACAATCGGGACCTTCCCCCATACCCCCGCTACAGGATGGTGGGAGGAACATCAACGGTTAACAATGATGTCATTGGTAGGTATCAAGTCACTCCTAGACTGTTTATTATTGCACTACACATTCTATAGTAAAGTTCCCATTTTGAAATCAGTCCTGGATGAATGCTAGTCCTGGCAAGATGTTCTTCATCACAATAAGCATTGTCTTTGTAGAATCTCTCGAGTTGAAAGTCCTTAGTTAAATCATTGTGTTTGTGTACTTCATTTATAAGTTGTTTTCACTGCTACACATATAGAATCGGACAATCATTCCTGATTATAGGGAAATTAGGGAAAAAATTAGTGGCAGCTGGAATTTTTGCCCTGCTGGAAATTAGTGTCACTTAGGTGTTTTTTTTTAATATTTCTTTTTGTACTATAAACTTATCTATACAGTTTACCAAGGTATGCTGGATTTTTTTTTATCTCCTAAAACAACAAATTGTGATGATGCTTTGTTTTGTTGATTGACTTTGACTGAGTCATTCAGTACCCAGAATGCCTCAGTAATTCCCTACACCTGCATGATGGGAAGCTCCACATGCTCTGCCAGAGCTTTCACTATGGATGTACATGATGGATGATACAGTACTGTTGTCACCTATCTAGGGTTCTTGATTAGCTATGACAGTTCTTGCTGGGCTGGAATTACCATCACAGCACCCAAAATACCATTCTTATAGGTACATGGAATAAATAGAAATGCTGTCATCGAAGAGGGAGGGGTGCTTGTGTATGTCATATTGGGTTAGATCATCAAAATGATATCAAAAGATGCAGGTTCATATTAACTACGTAGAGAATTATATACATAATCACAGATTGTTACTGTATTGGTGGTTTGTACATCACTCGTGCAATTAAGAACAATTAGTAATATTCACAATACGTCAAATCTTAATTAGAACATGTATCTCAAATTCGATGGGTCCCAGAGAAAAAAAAAGCTTTGAAATATCCCAGGATTCAAGATATTGAGGTTAAAATTCATTTTAAGAAAGTGGTTAGGACTTTTACTCATATCCATGGTTTTTCAAAATCTCTATGTTCCGGATACCCAAGATCTTTTGTACTCTATACAGACTTTTTTTCCCTTTCAAATTCATTAAACAGAGTTGAATACATTGCCCTTGTTGTTTGAAAGGTGGATACTAAAACTTGATGAAGGGTTGGGTTTTTTTTATTTGTAATGTACTCTTGAGGCATTGTGAGTGAAAAACACAGTATCTTGTTTACAGAGGAGTTTACTTTGGAGATCACTGATGTTCAGCTAGAGGATGATGGGAAATACAACTGTCAGGTGACCCCTACTGATGATGACCCTAGAGTGTTGCTAAGTGATGAGGTCACAGTTACTGTCTTAGGTAAGTATAATGTTTTATCACATGTGCACTCCTTTATACAGTGGATATAGCTCATAGTATATTAATTATTTTCATGTCGACTCCATGGTTGTGATGTCACAATGGTTTTTGCTTGAATTTGATCAAGTCAAATATTGTGGATTTAATAATTATATAAAACATGAAATAGCTGTGAGTGAAACGTGATAAAAAGAATCTCCTATAGTTTGTGGTTGGATATGATTTTTTATCCAACTTGTATAAAAAAATTCATATCCATGCAACCACAAACCATTGGAGATGTTATATATAAACAACAAGAACTATCTATAAGAAGAAAGTTACCTAAACTTTGTGCTTTCTTGAAGCAGTTGGTGAAGTTTCATCTTGTAGAAAGAGTTTTTGTTAAAAAAGATACATTAATCATTTAAAAAGTTGGGATACCTGTTTAATTTACTTAACTGGCAAAATAACATTTCATAGTGTTCATAGTACATGTATTGAAGGAATTGAAGAATGTTATAATTTTTGCTTTGTACAGCCCCTCCTGACCAGCCCGTAATAGATGGGGGTCCTGTCATTCCTCTGGAGCTTGGGGTACCCACCAACATCACCTGTAGGGCAAATGGAGGAAAACCTGCCCCTCAGGTGCTATGGTGAGTTCTGATACTCAGTATATAATTCAAGTGAATTCAATTTTTAATTTATTTTTTTACAAAACTACATGGTCCTCCATGGGAAGGAAGATGTATCTGTTCAAGAGACTTTGGAAAGCCTGCTTTTGAGGCCATTATATTTGTTAAGTTTATACTGACCTATTTTAGGTACAAAGAAGGTTCAGGAAGGATCACTAATAATACCTACACTATTGGTACACCTAACAAGGTGACGAAGGTCACTGATGTCATCGGTATTGTGACCCTAAAGGCAACTAATGAGGATCACGAGAAGAAAATTGAGTGTCATGCCAAAAATGAGGCTTTACGGCAGCCCCTCATCTCGTCTGTGACATTGAATGTGCAATGTAAGACCAAGTCATAAAAATAATGTATCTATAGTGATTTCCAGTATTCCAAAAATGTTTTCTTCCACTTTGGAGACTTTTTTTGTCACATATTCTTCATCATGTTTCTGAAGAATATAAAGAGTTTTCTTGTATTTGCAGATAAACCAAAAATTAACATCAGCCATAATGTAACCCGTCCTCTTAAAGAGAATGACTACGTTCGATTCTCATGTGATGGTGATGCCAACCCAAGAGAGGTCCAGTGGAGGTACTGAAGAACTCTTTTTCCAAATTCTAATCCTCATTGAAAGAAGAGACTGGCCAGGCAAATTGAAATGTTTATACAAATATTAATGACACCCCTTTTTTATTTCAAACTTATGTCCCGACATTCTCTTATTGAGTGAACCCTTTGTTGTTAAAATTCAGACAAGGACACCAATTTCTGTTAGGAAAATTTGCCCATTATTTTGCTGGCAGTGCCTCTAATATAATTTCAGAAAAAATATGATAATGCTAAAATTTCAGTATCATTTCGTTGATTGCATGGTAGTTAATTTATGAAGCAGTAAATTTTTCACTGATACGTGTACTGTAAACTCAGTTGTAAGGAAGTCACATGGACCCTTAATTTGCTTCCTTAATAACCAGGGGGCCGTTTTACAGAAGAACAAAGACCGAAAACTTTAGTTGATTGTAAAATTTTTCAAAATTAATTATTCTGTTTGAAATTGCTAGCATGAAAATATCTTCCTGAGTTCTTTTTAAAAATAATAAAATCATTTTCAAATTAATGTAAAATAAAAAATTATAAGCAGAAGCAAATTTTGGTCTTAGTCCTAAGTTCTTTTGTAAAATGGGCCCCAGGATTCCTTATATCTGTATAAAGAACAGAGTGGAATGTCTTCCACAGGATTCATAAGAAAGTCCCTTATAACAGAGAGTTCCTTATAAGTGAGTTCTTTATAACCAAGTTTTACTGTAGTAGTTACTTTAAAATACCTCAAAGTCGAAAGTCACAATGTTTAACTGTATGTGTAACTGTAGGTGGATGAGAGATGGTCGACTGATCAGAGGACAGACCAGGCGTAACCTAGATATACCACATATATCCAGCGAGTACCATCAAAGCACCATCTCATGTGAGGCCACCAACTCCATTGGCAGTAGTACAGCAAAGATGAAGCTGGATATACTTTGTAAGTCTGCCACTTCCACTCAGGTCAAAGGTTAATGCTCCTCTTTCATGCTGCAGATTAAATCAGTCACAATATTCATACCCCAGGATTCCTCAGACAGTTTTATTTGCCTATTTATGAAGGTTATGTATGTAATACAACACTCTATACTTTTTACCTGACTGTTGATTTGCTACTGCAGTTAATTGAAATCTTGCCATCTCATTTTCTGAGAACAAAATTTGTTTCCTCAGTCTCTGCCAGAAATGATAAGTGACTCGCATCAGATGGTCATCTAAGACAAGTTTCTTGAAAACTTATAAACCAGGGTAATTCTGATGGTATTGACTGCAACTGAACTGGGAACAAAACCATCATTCAAGCATGCTCTATTTGCATCGATAACTGATTATCTGAAATATTTTATGAATCCTATATCAGAGTTTTTCTATTTTGATCTGTCAGAAGATTGTTCCAGTGTTCAGGTGCAGCGTAATAACAGATTTGTTCCTCCACACAATGACCAGGAACCCTCATGATTGACTTCACACAATTATTCTGTCAGGGCCTACCGCTGTTGATGTTGTCGTTTATGTACACCAGGCAATTACAGGGCCCTAAAATTGGACCTTACTTCCTCTCTTTAGTTCTTTTTGTTGTTACTGAAATGATGCATACAAAATACTAATTAAAACTGATAAGAGATAAGGATTGGTGCATAGCCACCAACCAGTTGACAGGACCATAAAAGCCTGGAAATGTTGCATTTGGATAGTAATGATTGTTAACATTTTATGGCACTTGCAATAAATTTTAAAGACTTCAAGCAAACAACTGGATCTTTAATGCCAAGAACCTGTTCTGTAATTCATTTTTGTCACTCCTAATAATGAAAGTAACATGCAGTTAAGTCAGCATTGTAAAAGAACTATAAAACAGTGCATTAATGCAAGATCCTTTTCTTTTTCTGAAATTATTACATGTATTCTCTCTCTCCTCAGATGAACCAAAATTTATTGGGGTCAACCAGTACATTCCTGTAGATCTTAAAAAGTCAGTGACCTTGACCTGTAATGCCACCGGTAACCCCCAGCCTGAGATCCGATGGCGAAGGTCAGACAGCCAAATCCCCCTTAGTGAAACCACGACCTTAACTGTATCTAACATCGGGGAGGAAGACCTTGGCATGTATATCTGTGAGGCCAGCGCCCTCTATGGAGCTTTCAGTACCAAGAAAATAGATGTTTATCTTCTGCTCAAAGGTAGTTCTTTTTCTTAATGGTAGATATTGATTGATTTCCCCCCTGCTCACCAGGAGACTAAATATTTGCTTTTTAACCCTGTAAAATGAAATACACAGAAATATCCTATGCCATCTCAGGTGAACAATAAGTCAATTAAGCTTGAACATTAAAAAAAACAAAACAAAAACAAACATCATTTGCAACAATTTTAGACGGTTTTATGTTGGAAGTGTTCATAACAACCGGTAAATAAAATGGGAAAGAATGCTACTAATACGTTAATTAGATTATAAAAGCACAAAATCAGATAACAAAAAGAGGCATTTTATAGAGTTATTTTTCAATACCATAATTATTTAATTGATTCAATTTGGAAAATGTCAGAGGTGTTTTATAAGAGAGCTTATTATTTCAAAAGTTAATTGAATTAAATTTTTCATGTTACTTAATCAATAAAATGCTTTCTTTCTTTGTTAATGCAGGAATAATGGTTGCAACATTGCAGAAAAAAATACATAACCCATTTACAAGGATTGATAAGTAGATTTGTTTCTGCAATGGTTGCAACTGTTAATCGCAGTAACAAAGGAAAAAAGACATTTTATTATTTATATTTATTCCTGTATCTGTTAAAATTACCTGTATAAATTGTGTTACTGTACGTTAACTACTAGGTGTGTAATGTTGGTCCATACATTGATGGAAGAGCCCACTTCTTAAGAAATCTTTTAATCAAACAGATGGCTTTAAAAACTGGTTCAAACCAGTTTGGTCATTAATGAATTGATAACATTGTTTTCATTTAAAAAATTAAGGAGAAAATTTTCAGTGGATGTTAATATATGAAAATATTGCAGGTCCACCTGAAATCAAGAGTAAATCCACACAGTATGCGGAACCAGACCTGGATGGAAAAGTGTCCTGTTTGGTCCGCTCAGTCCCTTACCCAGATCAGATCCTGTGGATCAGGGGAGATAAAATAATTGACTACGCTCAATCCGGCAGGTACTCTGTCACACAGACACAGATGGCAGACGGGGTGGAAAATATCCTCCACATTACTCACCTGACCCCCAGTGACTTTGGGGACTACATATGTACTGCTTTTAATGGTTATGGAAATGATACTATGAAAATCACATTAGCTGAGACAGGTTGGTTATTCTGATTTTCCATAAATGCTTGTAGGATGTTCTTGTTCAAAATATAAACTTATTTCTTGTTTTTCTAATCTTTATGTGCTCTTACATGCTATTCATTAATTGTCCTATAAATACGAGCAATTGTATTTAATTTTGGGAGAGAAAAACTATAGGAGTAGTATTGTCCATTTACTCTAGTTTGTTTAAAAATACATGCAAAATTATAAGTTATTAAGCTATGAAGATTTAACACATTTTAGAAAATACATTTGATGGCAAAAAAAAGAGGGGATAGTGCAGGAATTGATAGCTGCATTTACAAATAGAACACAAGAATTGTTAAATGGTAGGGATTTCCAGCTCTCAATTAAAATAAATGATTCTTTTTTTTTTTCAGAGAGTTTACATTTGAGTTACATCATAGGAGCTGTTTGTGGTGGTGTGGCCGTTCTGCTATTTATCGCCGGGGTCTGCATTCTGTATCACAGATGCAAATCTTCCGACAATGGTATAAACACATCTCTTATTGCAGCAGAAATGGAAGACTTCTTTAATCTTACTGTAATTTACGAGAAATTTGTTATTGTAAATTTTGGCTGAAAACAAAGGTGTCATTATGGAAGGTGTTAAAATGAAAGATAAACATGTATACATCAAACTCATCCAAGAAACATAATCCATTTGTGCAGAGTTGTTAACTTTCTGTCAAATGATCTGTACTTGTTGTAAAGATCAATGTTATTTAATTGATAATGTTTCTATTTATAAATCTCAAGATAACCAAATTTCAACTCTTCCAGAATCTTATGCAGAGACAGACAGCCACACAGAATTTAAAAAACGAGAAAAATCTGATTCCCCCTCAGATTTCACAAAATCCACATTGATGGATGAATGGCGGCAAAATCTGAATTATCATTGTCCGACAGATTATGATGATATCAACAACATAAATAATGTTTATAATGTAAGTAAATTTTGTTTTAAACCAAGATTGAAAATAGGACAAAGAAAGATAACTCTTACTAAAAAATTAAAGAGTACCATTGTATGTTGTGTGCTCGAATATAATTTTTTTTATGCACTTGCAGGATCCTAGAATAAATTCCAGTGGATATGGAACATTAAAATCAGACCAGATAATTAATGGCTATGAAAATCACAATGGCCATCTGTTTAGTGACTACACCCATAGGAGTGATGAATCTTTTCCTGTCGAGAAGTGAGTGCAGGTTTTTACTTGAGATTTTGAAAAAATGATGCCTGCGAATTTTTCATTTTTTATTTTAAAATAAACCTTAAGTTCTATTTTTCTGTTGTACTGAATGCAATATTTAATGTCACTAATAAGAATATATGTTTTTCGTCTTCAGTGTGAATGGTTACAATTCTAATAACTACGGGACCAGCACATTCAGAAGTGGATCTCGGACGGACTTTATGAAACCGGACTACAGTAGTGATCCATACAGACTACCACCTGCTAATCTGTCTACCACACAACTAGCCACAAATGTCTGAGATAGACAAACAAAATATCAAGTGACATTTACAGGCTGTGCACCACGCACGCAATGGAATCACAATTCATCTACCATATTTAAATTGGGCCACCAGGCTGAAGACAAACAATGCAATTCCTTCATCTGCTTTTCCATTTATACCAAGGAGAAAAGATAGACTTCTGTTTTATATTTGTGAAATGAATGAGTGTACAGGTATACCTGTTTGAAATTTTTTTTTCACATTTTCAATGTATGGTGTTGTTAGTCGTTGAAATATTCTCCAAATAAGCAGACTGAATTCCATGCTAATGGTTGCTTATGGATGAAGAAGACGAAGGACTTGGTTAATAGTGCAATTTTGATGTGTGTTGAGAATACTCGAGATGCTACGATTTTGTGATGCTATGACTGACAATGCAGTGCATTTAAAATGCAGTCGCTGACAACATCACACAAACTCTAGGGCAGACAGAGAGCTGACTGGTTCAGGTCATGAGAAGTTTGATGATTCTGGTTGTGTGTCAAATGATTTTATTTCCCCCACGGAAGTAATGTAGTGCTGATTTATATGTTTATCTGTTTAACTGAAATTTTTTTTTATTTGTCTTACTGGTCCTGTACAATTCGAAGACGTCAGACAGCACAAAATCTGCTGAGCAATTTCGTCTTGATTGAAGTACATATGTAATCATTTGATACATTTCAACAGATCTTGGAGGAAAATTCTGGTTTCTGTGGCCCATTGTATTTTGATCTCTTAATCTACCAAGTACCAGCACAGTAAGAAATGCTGTAAAACTACACACGATAAATTATAGTTGTAGACCTTGTTAAACATTCCAGATATTTCTACAGTGCTGTAGTATCCTTTTGTAGCTTGCACATATTTATATTTTTCATCACCCCCACCTTCATTTCGTCATCTGGAAACAACATGGAAGTTATTCTCCGAGTTATAATATTGTACATTCTCTGAACATTTTATCTGCTTTCATCAGACACTGCGGAAATCATAGACTTATATACAGGAGTTGTCTGTGTTCCTGTATGCTTGGCTTTTCACTGCTAGGACTCGATCTATGCAGATATTACCACTATAGGACACAAAAACTTCCGGTGATTGTGAATGTGGTGAGAGAAAATTGGAAAAATAACTCAAAATTCTAGTCAATTATTTCAGCAATGGCAAATATGAATTCTTACATTGAGTGTAGGTTTATGTTACTAATATAAAATGCATATGTATACCTGCAGATATTATGTGTGGCTATTTAATCTTACATTTGTTACAGTCCAAAGCAGTGTGCAATTTCATTGTTATTTACTTCTTTCTCTATATGGTATTACTAACAGGTGTTCATCTATACGATTTTAGTCCCAGTTTGTTTTTATCTTATTTGTTTCAGTATGTTTTATTGTCTGGAGAGAAAGAAAAAAGAGAGAGAGATTAATTAGAGAGCTAAAGTCTAATGTATAATTTTATGTCACTGTGAAGACATTTTTTTTTTAAAAAGAAGAGGTCACAAATTTTCTGTTTTCTATTTCATGTGTGAGAGGTATTGTATATTTCCTTGCTGATAAGCTGTTTTAGAATGATTTATTTAAGTGAGTGATATTTACACATGTCTAGTATGTCTTTTGAATCATGAAATCAAATGAGAGTGTACAAGATTGGAATAAATTCTAATCTAAAAGAATTTTTTGTGATTTTGTATGTCTTTGGAACCAAAGAAATCTAGTGTGTATGGTAGAAACTAATATAACTAAAAAGATAATAATCTCTTGTAGATGACTGCATAAGCATTAAAATAAATGACTTGATCGGGAGAAATATTGGTTACTTCCAAAAACACACTTTAAGCCAGCTATATTTGACCTTCAGTAGGGGAAAGTATTTGGAATGAAGCACTAGTCCTTTTGTATTTTGCAGTTTACTGATATTGATACAATTTAATAGTGCCCTGATGGTCTGATATAGCTGGCTGGGCTATAAAAATTGAGACAGATGACCAGAGATATTTTTTCCCAAGAACTGTGAGCTGCAGATCGGCAGCTGATAGGTCTGTAGTATGTAGTGACGTAATGCCTAAAGATTCTGAATGGATTTCATTCTGTTTTTATGGCAAATATATATATACCGGTAGTATAAGGTAACACAAGTCTTGCAAACACTGGTTTTGGTGTGAATAATTCCTTCCTATGAAGAGCTTGGAGCCTTTCTTCAGCTGAATAAAATCTTTAGGTCGACTCTCTAAAGACAGCAGAGTATGATTAAGACAAAAAAATTTCCAGTTCTATATATATATATACATGTATCTAAAATTTAGTAGCTTGCAAAAAGTCATGTATTTTTATTACTCTATAAGATATTGTGAATAATCTTTTATAAAAAAAAATATATCTTTATAAAGAAATGAAAACACTGCAGTTTTCAAAAATCTTCTTTATTCTTAGACATCAAGCAGTTAAACTATTGGCATAATTTTTAAGTAAATGAACTGGTTATAAAGTGCAAGGGTGCCTCTTTGAAAATTGTGAAATTTATGGCCCCTTTTCCAAGTTTTTGAAATTCATGGTCCTTCGGTCAAGGGTTCTGGTGTTAGAGTGGGGCTCTAATGATTATATAGTGAAAAAACATATTTTGTTTTAAAACCATCTTCTTCTTTGCCCCTGGGTATTTATCAGACAAACTTAGTGAATGGTTATGATGAGCAAGGATGCCTCTAGTCTTCCAAGTTTTTGAAATTCATGTTCCCTTGGTCAGGGGTTCTGGTGTTAGAGTGGGGCTCGAATGATTATATAAATCATCATTATATAGTGAAAATGCATATTTTGTTTTAAAATAATCTTCTTTGTCCCTGGGTATTTAACAGACACACTTGGTGAATGGTTATGATGAGCAAGGATGCCTTTTCCAAGTTTTTGAAATTCTTGGCCCCTGGGTCAAGGGTTCTGGTGTTAATTAAGAGTGGGGCTCTAATGATTATATAGTGAAAATGCGGTATTTCTTTGAAAATCCTCTTCTCTTCTGCTCAGTGTTTAGCAAACATACTCATCTATCAATTTATTTTGTTTTATTTCATACATCTGGGGATCCTTTACAGTATTGTATTTTACTCAGGTAACCGTTAAGGCCTTTGGGCCTGTTGTTTGTGACAGTTTTTGTGTACAAAAGAACTAACGTAATGGTAAGGTTTCCGTCTGTCTTTCTGTAAACAATTTTTCAAAATGCTACTCCGCCTACAATTTTGATCTGATTTTAATAGGACTTGGTTTAGAAGTAGTCTACACTAATATACTTATATTTCTGCTTGTTGGTCTTTGAAATTCTTTCAAAAACACTATTCCTCCTACACTTTTGCTTTGAATTCAATAAAAACAAGCTAAGAAAACATCAAGATACACAATTCTGTTTATATGACCCCCCCCCCCCCCCCAAAAAAAAAGTCGGGTTTTAATTTTTTAAAACATTTTCCTAAGTACAAACGAGTAGACTAAGAGCTACAGTCTCAATATAGGTCACCATGACCTCATTTGGGAATATTAATCAGCCTTTGTCAAGATCATAGTTTGCACTCTGTGGGGCCTAGGACCATCAAATCCTGGAAGTTTACTTCAAGAAGCCGGAAACAAGATTAACGGAACATAGAGGTAAATCATTTTGCGTCTGTAAGTAAAATGCAATATGCTTACATACAAGCACTAGTATACCTTTTCAGTTCTACTTGTGAATTATTATCGTTCTCATTTCCCTACATGTAAGTATTGCCACCCCATTTTATTCGATAGTATCGAGAAAAAAACCCCTTCAGAATCAGAATGGTTGCCAGAGGAAATTCTATTTAGATAACTTCTATCCAGACAAACCATCCCTTGAAATCCCTCCATGTACCTATGTATCCATGTACATAGTTCCCAGCTTCTTGAGATAAATTGACGGGGTTTGATGGTCCTAGCCCTCACAGAGTGCAAAATATGATTCTAAGATGAGCTGAATAATACTTATTCCAAAATGAGGTCATGGCGACCACTTGTGGGTTGCGACACACCTTCCTCCCGTTCGATTTAGATGTCTTCTATCCGGAAAAAAAAACCCAGGTACCGTGCCTAAACCTTGTTCCCTACTTCTTAAGATAACCTGACAGAGTTTGATGGTCCTGTCATGTTCTAAATTATGAATTTACCGGATAGGAGTAAATACAAATAAGATTTAGAACAATTTTGTATTTACTCCCACTCAGTAAATTCAAAATTTAGAACGTGCAGTCTTAGGCCCCACAGAGTGCAAAATATGATCTTGACGTGAGTTGAATAATTGAAAATAAGGCCATGGTGACCTACTTTTAGGTTGCGATACACCTCCCTCCCAAGAGGAACTTCGATTAAGATTACTTCTATACTTCTATCCAGACAAACCAATGCCCATCTCTTGGAAGCCGTTTTTTTTAAATACTAGATAAGAGCTTATCAAGAAAAAAAGTCTTGGGAGACACTTACATGATTGTAATTATAATAAATATGTATCAACAAAAGAATAATAATAATAATAAAAATGATTTTGGGGAAAATTCACAAATTTTTGTTGAAAATCCATTCTTTGAGGGGTCAAGCTAATTTCAGACGTGGAATTGATTTTCCTCTGGTTCGGGCCCAGAAGTTATCCTTATGCCTTTAGCCCTTTACCAAACATGATACAAGAGTTATCAAACTTTGCTCAAGGCTTTAGTTCGCCCAAGAACTGCCTTTTCTTTTTTAAACATTAAAGAGAAACTGATCAATTGATTTTAAACAGCACAATTCTTTTTTTTCACAATTAATTTAGGCGTCATTGTTCTTACATAAGAACAACAATTAATTCTGCGACATTCCAAAAACATATCACTTTACTTAATTGAACGATATATGAATATAACCCTAGTTGAATTAAAAATAAAATCAATTTTCTGCGTCTTGAAGTTTTTGACCAAATTGAGTATCAATTATAGGAAAAGTGCATAATATCGGTCAATGACAATGTTGGGGAATAAATAT